CATGTAGTTGTGTCAAACTCCATCAGGCTAGTTTATCCTGGCTTTAACACATCCCAGTGATTTAGTTTGATTTTTTAAACTCCATCACCCCCTCTCCCTCGTTTGGTGTGTGCTCATGCGTAAAAGTGTGTCTGATTCAAACTGTCTTCATTGCCTTTTCCTCATTCTCAGTGAATGCACAGAAAGAAAGGGGGGGGGGGGGGACGAAGAAGATTGAGAAAAATACCTCGGAGAGAGAGAGAGAGAGAGAAAGGGTGAGTGAAAGAGTGGGTGCTGGGAAGGAAAAATGAGGGAGTGGGAGGGTGCAGAGAGAGTGAGTGAGAGCTGATTAGATTGGAGCGAGCCAAGGAGGTACGGCTGTACTACTGAGCGTGGGGAGAGGAGGGGAGGGTGACTAAGTGAATGCAGTTTGCCATCTCGTGTCGCTGAATCACAGCAAAGTCCACAGGCAGGCGGATGGATCGGACCTAAAACCAACACGCAGGAGACTGAAACACTGGATGCTGGCTGCATTCAAAGGGACACACAAGGAAGGAGAGTTAATGAGCTTTGATCTGCATCACTGCTGTGAGGAATCCATGGGGAGGGGAAGGAAAACACCAGACAACTCATTTCTCTCTCGTGGAGCTGAGATGGAATAGAGTCAACTGTGGGACTCACTGGGATTTTTTTGAATAGAAGCTTAGTAAGTATTGTTAAAGGCTGTTGTGTGTGTGTGTGTGTGTGTGTGTGTGCGTGTGTGTGTGTTTGCATCCTTCTGCGCTGCCTCTCAGCCTTTTTCCCTCATCATTTTGCAAGAAAGAGTGGAAAGCAAATGCAATTGTGCTGCAATATTATGCATTTTCCCTCTAGTTTAAACAATTACACCCAGTCTTGACTCTTGTGTGTTTGTGCCCTCTCCTCCTCAGTGCCTGTGTGTGTGTGTGTGAGTCAGTGTGTGTGAGCTGATAATAGCAGCTCCATTGGTATTCAGTGGAGGGAGCTCCAGGATCTCGCTGCGCCTTTCCCCAGGATGGGATCACAGAGCAGGGATTGTGCTCGCCTGTGGGGAGTCCGCTGAAATGGGTGAGTGTCCGTGTCTCTCCTCTTCCTCCTCCTCCTCTTCATCTTCTACCTCTCATTTCGACGTGTGAAACATCTCACCGGCTTTTATTTGTCTTTACTTAAATTTGGATCCTTTTCACTAGTGATGGGCTCCCCGTTCATTCACCCCATCCTGTCCACTTCTCAGCATTTGCTCCACCTGTTTCCTCCTTCCACCCCCCCTCCCCCCCTTACACACACACCCTATGCTCCTCAGCCATGACACAAACAGAACTGTCCAGTTTGATGGCTTTGAATGAAATCAGAATGGCTCACTTCATTTTCCAGCTTCCCCGCATTCCCTCTTTCTCTCCCTTCTTCCTCCTCCCTTCTTTGGCAGTGTCACCCTTCCCCCTCCTCGCCTCCCAACCCCTTGGAGCTCCTCTCTACATTCTGTTTGAATTCAGGAGCACCAAAGATGTTTTTTTTTGTTCTGACACATGCAATCAGCGGGGATGGATGTGTGTGTGTGTAAACGGACTGATGTTTCTGTCTAAGCCTCAGTCACTTTTTCAAACCATGTGTGTGTCAGATGTGTACTGGCAAAGACAAACTAAAGATCAAGTAGATGGATGTAGTTACTTGCTTCAGCCATGACAGATGTGGCGCAAGCTCAGTGCCCGCCACTGGTCATGCACACACCTTGGCCTTTGTACTTCATGCTGACATACCTTCTGCACACCAATTCACACCCACCTACATCTTTTCACACTTGTGACAACATAGCACGAGAACGCTGCCAGCAGAGGATGTGGCCACATGAAAGCTAGCCAGAGCTCTGACCTCACAGAGAATTATCCTGGCCTCAACCGAAACGATCCTCGGAGAATACCGTGTCAGAGGGCAGCTCACAGTATTGATTATAGCTGATAACCTGAATAGACTTGTATGCTTCATCGCAAATGAATTGTCCCTTCATTGTATTCTGAAGAAACCGAGGAGACATTTAACCAGTTTAACGATTTTGCACAAAGAAATGGTATTACAACCGTATTGATCAGCATTCCCTTTTTCTTTTCTGAGTCAAGACGTGATCCATCCCTCAACTGTGAGCAACAAGTGTTTTGGTTTGAATTCAAGCGTCACTTTTTCATATTCAACAGGTGCGAACTGTTGCATGGTAACTGAAACGAGACAACCTGTTGGCGAAGGGTTGACACTCTGCTGCTAATTTTAGATTATGGTAATTCTCTTTGGTTTATTTAACAAAAAATGTGTTCTGATGTTTCAGTTTTATGAATCTTGGGATTATTACTTAATCCGGTTTTGCATTTGTCTATTGCATAAAAAGAGATTGAGAAACACCAGAATGGGACTTTAGGACATCATAGACAGTGATAATGTGATCTGTTAAAAAAAAACATTGACTGCAATTTTAGTTTTTAAGATTTGAATAGCACAATGAAATGGGAAATAGTGTTGGTTTTTAGGAGATGTGCTTTGATAAAAATTAAACTTTTAAATCTAAAATGAGTTTGTTGACCACAGAAATAGTGGCTATACTGAGAATTTACAGATTACTTGCTTTTATTAAAAGTATATCTAAGTTTATGCTGATTAAGTTTTGTTAACTTAGTTTTGCCCTGTGCTGTTAGCACAGTTAAATGTTTCCATTTATGATGTTCAAATTATGTTTTTTACATTGTAAACATAGAATTTCATTATTTCTTGTGTCTTCAAAACAGAAACCTTAATTAGAAATTAGAAGTAAAAGTTTGAATCTATATATACACCTGATTTAAGGGCTAAGAAGTAGCTTCTCATCACCTGATGCATCTTGCAGAGCTTGACAGACATCTAACTTGGATCTAAAGTAAAAGATGACAGAAATGATTGAATTAAATCAGCAGAGGTGTAGACATTAAATTGCATAAAGGGAACAGAGATAGTCATAGGGTGAGTGTGAGGCTTGTTAGTGAAGTGAAAGGATCAAATCTTAAGAGTGGAGTGAACTAAAGAGCAAACGGGCTGCGAATTCGGAAAAAGAGTGACAAGGACGGAATAGACAGCGGGACGACAGGAAGGGTGGAGTGTGACAGGCAGGGGAATGACATACGTGATAAGGCAGAGTGACACAAAGTCACCAAGCTAACCTTTCATGCACTCTCATTCCTCTACTCTTGTACTTTTCCCCTCCTCTTCCTCTCTTGGCAGATCTAAAGCCTCGCAGAGATGAACAACAAATGGGAAGCATGGACGCCACCACGTACCCTCCAGCGACTAGCTCTCCACACCTAACTGCCTCCACCGTCTCCAGCCATCAGCTGCAACCGTTCCAACGAGGGCTGAGCTGGTTGAGTTGAGGTTGGACCAGCAGAGGAGGACAGTCCTCAGAGGAGTCGACGATCAACAGACCAGTCAATGTGTCGAGCACACAATTAAGCCTCATGAAGTTCATTGAAAATGAAGTAATCTGCAGTGATGCTTGAGCAATGGCATGGAGCTTTTGGACGTATATGGATTTATCAGCTGGATATCCTGTTGAGATTACGACATGCTGGTGGAGCTGTCTCATGCTTTCCAAATAGATTTGTGGGTAAAAGCGAGTAATTGAAAATCTGTTCCTGGGAGACTATATTGTCTGTCTGTTTTTTTTTTTTTAATTCTTCTTTTTCTCCTCTTTTCAAAGGACCAGTTTTGAACCCCTTTGTTTGCCTCAAATTCCCTCTTCTTTCTTTTTCACCATCTTCCTCTCACATTGCGGAGAAACACATTATGAAGCAGCACCATTCTTCTTCATCCTCCCTCAGTGACGGAGAGGAAAGAGGGACAGACTGTCCAGAATAGATAACAAGCAAGGATACTTGTGGTGAAGGAAAGGGAAGAAAATAATAATAATAATAATAAAACAAAGAAAGAGAGTAAGGAAAAAATAGACAAGGAACAGAAGAAAAGAAGATATAGAGATTTAACTAAGATCGTTGGGAATCCTTTACGAGCCTTTTTGTGGTTTGTCTGTGCCGTGTTGCAGTGCAGTTAACACAATGGGCTCGAGGGGTTTCTGGATTTCCGCCAGAGGGGAAACTTGAGCAGAAGGTGAGGGTTAAGTCCCGTCTGCTCCTGACTGCTCTGCATCCTTGTGTTTGAGAGGTAGACGGACTAGATTATGGCCAGGCCGTAGCGAATGACAGACAAGCTCAGCGGCAGGTAGGCCGAAGAGAAGACGGGTACACAGCCACAGCGTCAGGCCCAAACCCAGACAGACATCAACTGCTGGCACTGTAGACAATTCATTGTCATTCTAGGCAGAGTGTTTGGAAAAAACAGAGGCTGAAAGGAAAACAGAGAACCTTCTGGAAAATTTAGCTTCTTCTACGTTAATTTAAGTTGTCTATTTGCTGCAATTGTTAAAAGAAATGCAAGACACACAGGTGCTGTTAAGAAATACAGGTTGGTAAGAGCAAAGGAAACAAAGGGAAAGAGCAGGTGTCAAGAATCCTCTCCTTCATCTGCTTGTCATTTACTTCTTTACGCTTTCTCATCGTGTGGCACTGGGATTGATTTTCCGATGCTGTTGTTGCTCCTCCTATAAGCCCTGTGCAGTCCCTTAAAAAAAAACGGCAACAACAGGAAAGATGGAAACCTTTTTCATTGACTAATTTCTCCCTCCTCCCTTTTTGTTAAACTGGTCAAGATGGCACCTTGTTATTCGTTTTTCTAAGTAAAGGATAAGAAGAAGAAAACCGCCCACACGATCAATCTCTCATCTGTTTTTGTGCACAGAACTCTTTTTTTTTCTTCTGTTGGATTATTTTTTCTCTCCGAGTTACAAACAGTGGATTCCTCCAGATTCCCTTCATATGTCCTCACCTCCAGTGACACTCCTCTGATTCCCCCGCTGGCGTCCCCCCATTGGCTGAGGAGCTAGAACTCTGTGGGCTCAGATCTCAGTGTTGACTCACTACTACAGCTATAATATGGCACGGCCCTCCTGATTCATTCTGTAAGTAAAATTCCCTCTTATATATCTGTGCATGCATGTCTTCACATGTACTCCACAGGTCATTAGCACATATTAAGCTCATGTATTCTGAGGCACAGAAGTGGTCTGTTTTACTGCAGTGTTGGTTTTTTTGTGGTTCCATCGCAGCAGATTTGCTTTCCTGTGCTTCCTCTGCTTCAGGCGCTCAGTGTGTGTGGACGTGTGTGTGTGTGTGTTCATATGTGTGTAAGTCTGCCAAACACAGTGATTTTGATCTTAGAGCCAAGCTCACAACAGAGTCAGAGCATCAGAATGAGGCAAGAGAGGTTTTTTTTCTGAGTGGGTGTTTGCATGTTCACTACTACATGTTGGACCCAAGGTTAATTTAAACTAATTAATAGTGAGGAGGCTTTTTTGCATTCAGGACCCTTGTTGTAAACTCTGTCACTCTGGGATTTATGAAAGGGAAATTTAGAGCGTTTTATGAATTGATTATCCTATCAGTTGATTGATTTATTGGACATACATGTGCTACACCAGTGTTTCCTTTTAATTTTTCGAGAGGCCTGTTTGCGCACACAAAAAAATCTGGCTTCTCTCACTGTTGTCATGCTACACAAGCTTCCATCAACACACAATGAAAAAAGCAATTCAGTAATTTACTATTCAATGGAAACTTTTTCTTTAACATTGTTTTTCCCATTTAAAAGCTACCGTATTTTTGGGACTATAAGGTGCACTGCAGGCGGATAGGTGCGGCGTCAGGCAGTGAAGCGCGAGCTGTACCGGTCTGTCATGGTGAAAAGAGAGCTGAGTCCAAAGGCGAAGCTCTCAGTTTACTGGCTGGTCTTCGTTCCTACCCTCATCTATGGTTAGGATGCCTCTTGGATGCCTCCCTGGTGAGGTGTTCTTGATACGTCCCACCTGGAGGAGACTCAGACCCAAGACACGCTGGAGGGACTATGTTTTTCGGCTGGCCTGGGAACGCCTTGGGATTCCCCCGAAGAAGCTGGCCCAAGTGGCTGAGGAGAAGGAAGTCTGGGCCTTTTTTTTCCTCTTTATTTATACAAAACAAGTACAACAAAATCCTGCAACAGCAAACATGGCTTGAGACTTAAGGCAGGCATGACAAAATAGAAATACAAGCAAATAATAATGTGAAAATATGTTTTGGGCAGTTTACAGTGGAAATTTGTTACAAAGTGTTTTAGTCGTTAAGGCTTTTGCATTGGTACAATACTTTAAAGTAGACAAATAAGAAGAAATATAAGTAAAAAAAACGTAAATCTGGGTTTTAGCATGGAAAATTTACAGCTGTGCATGTGAAATTTGGCTAATATAAGTATTAAGTTTACAACAAAAACTTTCATACATGGAATATTCAAACAGAAGAAACTAAAAAGTATAGTTTTGTTGTCAAACGGTAGATCGATTTCTAACTTTCTGTTCACAAACAAGAACATGTCTTTCCAGTCTGGGCCTCCCTGCTTAGGTTGCTACCCCATGACCCGAGTACAGATAAGTGGAAGAAAATGGATGGATGGATAAGGCACACTTAAAATCCTTTAATTTTCTCAAAAATCGACAGTGAGTCTTATAATCCGTTGCGCCTTATGTATTAATTCTGGTTGTGCTTACTGACCTCGAACCGATTTTATGTGGTACACGGCGCTCAAAAATGTGTACTGTTTTGTATAGTTTTGTAATGAGCGTATTGTTTTGTATTTTATGTGTTACAATTGAACAATGTTGAAAGTTATTGTGAATGAGTTGAATAAAGTTTGACTTATCGGACTGTTTTGTTTCGCTTATAAATGAAAACAGACCTGTGCATTGATATTGCGCTTTATAATCCAGTGCTCCTTATAGTCTGAAAAATACAGTAACCCTAAACTCACCTGTCTGTCTGTAATGCGTTATCAAGTGGTTTGTGACATTTTGTAACAAGTTTTTCTTTTTGTTGTTATGAAGTGATGAACTCTTTGACATGTACGCAGATTTTAAACCCAGCGTTTGTCCTATCTAAATATCTTGCCCTGATAAACTAAAACTCGTTTGCTTGTGTTCTTCTGGAAATACATCTTTGCCTGAAAATCACTTTGAAGGCAGGCAAGTTTATTTTCACAGCTGAAATAGTCTGCATTCTTTGAGCTGAAATTCCTTTTATAATATTTGTCATATTGGTAAAATGGAACTCAATTTCCTCCCAGTGGATGTTGCAAATTGTTGCGTAAAGGTGCTCTCTCTGTGCCACGGGATTGTTTCATTTGCCATGCACATTGTTGCAGCTCCACATTTGAAAATTATACAGCCACTTACTTCCGTCTGTGCACAATGTTTGATTCAGGACCTTGAATGTGCCGTGAGTGTGTCCCCAAAAACTCAGTTTTAATCATCAGTCTGCTGTTTTTGACACGCGTTCAGATATTACACGATTTTTTGCTTTTATTTTGTTTTAAATGGCACCAGAGTTTGACTTTTTTTCTTATATTTCTCCTTATTTTCTGTCTTTCTCCATCTCCATAATGAAGCACAAGGCTGTAAGGAGATGAAGGTTCAATATTTTTATTAAAACACAGTCTCCACCCGAAACACTGTCACATGGATTACACACAACTGAATCAAAGAGTTTACATCATTCTGTGTGCAACTGAGTTATTCAACTAAATTACTGAATTGTTTCAGCTTTAGTGAATCGGAAATTGAATGTGGGCTAAACTGAATGAAATGCATCAGCTACTGAAAATGCCTCTAACTCCCTGACTAGTTCTTTGTTGCCTCCATTTCACATCCAGTGCCCTGAGCATGACACTCTGACTGAATATCATTTCCAACCACGTTTATTCCCAAATGGGTTGCTTGGATGAAACTCTGTATTCAGCCTCAGAACCTGCAACGTCCTGCATATTAGCAAGCCCATTTATCTCCATGGACACACTCCCATCTTTAAACAGTCACACAGTCACCAGGCCCTGCATCATTCAATGCTCAATCAAGATAGCACCTTCAAACAGACCAATGAGCTGGGAATGACGCCATCATATAAACTCCCAGCTCTGAGCATTTTGAAGAAAGGAGATTTAAAGGGTATAAGGAAGGGGTAAAAAATGAGGGAGAATAAAAAGTGTTCTGGAACTGGAAGGGCAGGAGCAGAAAGAGAATTTGAGAGGAGGCAGGGAGTGTGAGGTGAAAGCATCAGAGAGGAGAACACAGAGGAGGGAGGGTGAGAAGAAACAGCGAGGAAAATGGGAGAGCATGGCTCTGGAGAGGCCGTGAGGCAGGAAAAGACCTCTGCTCCACGGGAGCACTCTGATGGGCTTAGCGAGGCCCCGCTTTGTTCACACTGTTGGTCAGCCTCTCAGAATTAAGCTTACTAAATAATACGATTATTGCAGCTGCACACTGATAACACGCTGCTGCCGATCCCCTTTGTCAGTGTCAGAAAGCCCGGAGAAGAGAGGAGGAACGGCGTATGATGGCATCAAAGGCATGGCAGTACCGACTGCATCACAGTGTCACAAGGGCTCGAGCTTCACAACACGGCTTCTCCGCTTGCTGCTGAGGAAGTGAAAAGACTAAGTTTGACTTTTTAAACAAGTGGCCATACACAAAAGGATGCGGAGGGGGAAAAATGGTTTTCCCTTCAAATAAACAGATATTATTATGTACGGTCATGCACCACAGTTCTCTTTTCTTCTCTTTGATGTTGCATCATTTTCAGAAGCAACTGAAAGCGATTGAACAACGAAAGCTTGAAGTGCATTACCTTTATGTTACGTGTGAATACAAACAACAACCCTCATAGTGTGACATGCGGTCCTTATCTCGATGGGTTACGCTGCATCCTCAGTGTGGGCTATTTATTTTATGTTTCTCTGCTTGACAGCTTTGACACAACTTCCTGCTAAGTCGACCTTGCAGTTTGAAGTGTAGTAAAAGTGGAATTCCCAAGCCATGTTGCACATCGATACATGTTCTTATAGAGGCTGATAAATGGTTCTCTGCCCGTTGGGAATGAATAAAAGAATAGCGGGAAGCAGGAACCACTGTCCATCTCAGCGGAGGTAGAGTACAGTTGTCTGAAAACCCAAGGATTCTGGAGAGGTGAGCTAATCTCAAGGCTGGTCTGGGCTCTCCTACACGATGTGATTTCCACTCTCCTCTCAGCAAGAGCAACAGTTTGCCTGCAGAGTTAAAGATTAGCTCGGAGCTGCAACTGAAAACATACATTTAGCGTGTGATGGTGTGTCATATGAATAATAAATCACATTCTGGAGCGGAGGGCACGCAATGAAATAAGTGAATGATGACACTCGTCACAAACTGCACCTTTGAGTTTTTGTGCAGCGCATGTCTTCTGCTGGAGGTTTGGTGCTTATTTCTCTCAGTGACATTAAATGAACTTAGACCCCAGGCCGTGCACAACCGAGCCTCAGAGTCACAAAACAACTGAGCCACTCTGTGGACCTGGTATACCTTATCAAGAAGGATTTATGTTAGATCGCATGCACTTTGCTAATGGAGTTGAGACAAGTAGAAAAAGGAACGAAATATGGAGATGATGAAGCAAATTACAAGTTGTTTCTGTCAGTTAGTGCTTTTTCCAGCTGCATTTTCCAGTGTTGCTACATTTTACAGCTTTTTCCCTGCTTGACTTGATCTATACTGTGACACAAATTCACATGATTCATAATACAACCTTTTACGTGAAACTTTAGAACCTCTCGTTGCCCTGATGTGTCTCACTAAGGTTCTTTCACGTCACTGATCCAGTTACATCTCTAGTCAATGCTTTACTTTCCCGTTCTCTTTTCCAGCTCTGATTGTGCCTGAGAATTTCCTGATTTTCCCACTGATGTTAATGTTTACGCATGAAGACACAATTCACATTCTTTGCAGCATTAATCATTTAACAGTTCTCTGTCGGGAGCAGCTGTTCTCATAACCCGTGCTGCAACATGACGGGAAATGCTTCATGTAAAAAGCCCTTTTTGATAGTGTTTACCAGGAGTAGATAATTA